TTCTCTTCATGCAAGTATGGGGATAATAAAAGTACCCACTCAGAGATCCATTGTAAAATAAATAAAGTGGCCAGAACTCTGCCTGCCATATAGTAAATACATGTTAGTTATCACTATTACTATCATTAATATTTTTATTATTACCACTGTGGGAAATTAGCAGACTTTAAGATTCTAGCACAGTATCAAATTAAAAACTTGTTCCTCATAAGTGTTTTCATACTAAAACCATGTGTACTAATATTCGATTTGCTAAATATATGGTATTGGTTCATATGTATAGGACACCTATACATATTAGAGCTTGAAAACTTCCCACACACTATCCTTGTTTTTGCCTATTGGTGCCAGTGGAGTTATTAATACATTTGAATATATGGTTTTCTTTAAGGACTAAAATAAGTGTAGTGTCTCCATTGTTACTGTACACTTGAGTCTCTGGGATATTTAGAGAGGTGGGCAATGGCTTTATTTTTTTTTTTTTAATAACTGAGCAAACAAAATCTCAGAAAAGTGTGGGGTTGAAAAATTAGAGAATGTCAAGTGTGATCTGGAAGGGAACTCAAGAGTTTCATGTTCCAAGCTCTCATTTTGCAGATGGTTCGGAGAAGTTCAAACAACTTGCCCAAGGACAAGTAGCTACTGAATGGCAGAGCAGGTCATTGACCAGCGCTCATTTGGGGATTGCTTATTTGATGTGTTAAAATCCTTTGGGTTGATGGAGCTGGGGCCAAGAGCCAGCTGTGCTGTTCTGTTTGGTTCCTTAGGGTCCCCTCAGCAGGTAGGCAAGAGGATCAGCAGAGAGTTTAGGCCCAGAGTGGCCCCAACCCACCAGCAAGCAGTGGCACGCTCTCCTTTGGTCTTTGGACACCTGCAGGATATAGACAGAAGAATCCTGTATTCAGAATAAAAAATCCCTGGCCTTACCTCTGGCTCCATTTTCCTGTCCCAGGTTTACTGAGGTATAATTTACATAACAGTACTCTTTTTTCTTTTAGTTTACAGTTCTTTGAGTTTTGAAAAATGCATAGAGTCACGCATTGTCCCACAATCAAGATAGTGAACAGTCCAGTCACCCCAATTCCCTTTGTACACCTTGTATTGAGTTTCCCCCCACCAGACCTGACACCCAGCTTCTGGCAACCACTAATCTAGTCTATCTCTATTGATTTGCTTCTTCTAGAATGTCACATAAATGAAATTATACCAGATGTGGCCTTTGAGTCTTTTTTTTCTCCATGTAGCACAACACATTTAAGATTTGTCCCGGCTGCATTCTTAGAGTCTGCAGGTCCTTGAGTAAGTTGCTTAACTTTCAGCTTCAGTATTCTTATCCGTAAAATGGGCATAACACTTGCCTTGCATTTTTGTTGTTGTGGTGAGGAAGAAAAAATGCACACCAGTGTGCACCAGTTCAAAGGAAAAGCAAGTATATACAATGTACTTCTTGTTCTTGTTATGAGGTTGCCTCTTGAAGAGGCTCCAGGTACAAAGGAAACTCTAATTGAAGCAGAAACCCTGCAGAGCCTTTGTTTTTCTGACGAGCAGGGCAAGGTCTAGCCATCTCTGCTAAACATTTCCCCTGCCAAAGGGCTGAGCAAACTGGCTCCAAGATTTAAAATGCGGCCGGCAACACTTCCCCAACAGGGTCTAGCACTAGGGGAAATAGATCTCTGGCTTATTACCTCCATCAGGCAGCTCTCACGGGGTTGGGAAGCCTAACCTGTGGATGAGTTACTCTGATCTCTTTGGATGAAGCCACTTTGCAAGGCATTACCACTCACATCGATGATAAAATGGCAATAGCATTGTGGAAAAAAGATATGACTATCTAGCATACGGAGCAACAAACAGACAAAAAGAGAGGGGCCTCTCTTGGCTTAAAATGCACAGGGGGGAGATTGAAATTCAGATCTGCACTTCCTTCTGCATGTGATTCTGAGTTACAGAACACATGTGACCAACATACACTTCTTGGGCATTGCTGCCAGAGTGTGGAATGGAAGGGGCCCGCCTTCGATATTATCCTCCCATCCAATGAGCATGTGGGTGGCAGACAGCAAGACAGGTGCATACCAGAGGAGGGAAAACCTGGACAGGGATTCAGGAGCCCTGGTACCCTGTCTGGCCCTGCCTATTAATTGTGTGACTTCACTCTTGTTCCTCACCCATGGAAAAGAGAGCTATGATAAGTCACCCAGGAAGGGATCTCAAGTGACCCCCATGAATGATAGAGAAGCTGACCCCCAGATCTGTGTATGGAAAGGGGTGTGCACGTAGGCATGCATGCTCAGTTGTGTCCGACTCTTTGCAGCACTGTGGACTGTAGCCTGCCAGATTCCTCTGTCTATAGAATTTTCCAGGCAAAGAATACTGGAGTGGGTTGCTATCTCCTCCTCCAGAGGATCTTCCCGACGCAGGGATTGAACCCGCATCTCCTGTCTCCTGCATTGGCAGGCAGGTTCTTTACCACTGAAGACACCTGGGAAGCCCGTATGGAAGGGGGTGGGTGCAGAAAACAACAACTCTGAGCCTTTAAGTGAAATCCTTCAGAAAAGCTCACTCTTTCCAGCACTAGCTGAATAAGATTCCAATAAACATATTGCTGAAATGTTTGTTTCCGGGTGTCATTTCAGACTTCAAGTAGCTAAAACAGATCCGGTTCCTATATATAGATACTGCATTTGGTTGTGTTCTGGGAGGTTTTTATTACTACGCTGCCTGGCCAGCTCCCAGCTGAGCTTTTCCCTCAAGGGATCAGATTTTGGAATCAGAAAGTCAGAAAGGATCAGTGATCATATTAAGGGGTCTCTCGCTCTCCTTCTCTCTCTCCCCACTGTGGCTCTACACTGCAGGTGGACGCCAGCGTGGACTGGCTCCTCCCTTTTGCTCAAAGACTCTTAATAATAATGATGACAATGCTGATGGAAACTGACCAGCCCCACTATGGCAGCAAATACAAGCAAAACAGCCCTGACGATCCTGGGCTTAAAGGAAACATAGTATAATTTGGGTTGAAATGAAGTGCAGATTGTCACAAACAGCTCAGTCTTTAGATAACAGGACCCAGGACACTCTGAGGATAGAAGCAAAGAAAGGGGATAGTAAGGGTGGGTTTTTTGGGGGTGGGTGAGTTCTGAATTTTACTCCTGAATTCTCCAGGGGAGGAATACTGGGAATAAAAAGGTTCATGAAGGAAGGTGGAGGTGGGGATTGGAGGAAGAGATGTAGGCAGGGAAGGAGGAAGGGGTAAGGGGTTTACTTAAAGAAATAAGGTTGTACCCTGGCAGTCTGATTTTTTTCAATGTGTCCGATCACTGACAGCGAAGCCCTCCACTGTACGCCCTTTGTTTTCTGTTCAGAAAACCGAACCTCTGCCCCATTTTATAGTGTCTGCCTTCACCTGCCTCTCTGACTCCTTTATGTTTAGCTGTCATGGATCTGACTGCCTTCCTGGTCTCCATATTTTATGTGCTTCAGCACCCCTTCTCTTTTTTTCTTCCCCTCTGTCTCTTTCTTCCCTCCTCTCTTCGCTGCTTTTCTTTCTCAGTCCTCTCTCCTCCCAGACTCTTGTCTTTGCCCTTCGTTCCCCCCTCCCCTCCCCCTTCCATCTCTCCCTTTTCCTCTTCCATCCCTCCCCTCCCCCTCCTTTCCCCTTTTCCTTCTTTCCTCCCTCCCCATTCCTCCCTTCCTCCTCTTTTCCCCTCGCCCCTTCTGCCCTTCTCCCCTTCCCTCCTGTCTCCACGTCCCCATCTCCCCATCCCCTCTCCCTCTCCCCTCTCTCCCCTGCTTCCCTTTCCCTCCCTCTCCCTCTCGTCCTTGTTTATCTGTAAGCTCCAATTTCTTGCCTTATAGATTTACCTGCAGAACAAGACACCGCTCCTCTTGCAAAAACTGTTTAAGAAATCCATATCCTCTCCCCTTCATTCCTTGGGCATTTCAGAAATGATATTCCTCCCCCAACTACCCCCGTCAAAATAAAATAAATTCAGCCAGCTCCTGCTGTGTGTCCTTAAATCCATTCCCTCTAGCTTCGCTGGTTTGAAAGCCTGTACCCTAGAAGGGGCCTCCTGCATTTGCTGGCAACCCTGCTCCAGCCTGATCGCCACAGATAGTGCTTTGGAGTGAAAAAAAGGGGGAAAAACCCTCTCGTTGGAGATTTCAAAACAGATCCTACCAGCTTTCAAATCTGTGCACTTGTGGAGTGGCAGGGCTTGGGGAAGAGGCGTCGGAGACTTGGGGTGCGGGTGTTTGTCATAAACAAATAAGCCACAGGATTTATACATATATATAAATGTGCGTTTCCCTTGGCGTGTTTGGTTGTCTTTCTCCCTGGCATCCAGGGTGGGTGGTGTGCAAGTCTGACTTCTCTCACACTTTGACTGGGGTCTGGCGAGTGAGCGTGTGTGATGGAATTGAGGAGGGGGTTGCTGGGTTTTTGATCTGATTCACTTGACAGATTATTTGAATCCAGCCCACCTTTCCGCACATGTCAAACAGATGGGATCATTGTTAAAACCTTGGGAGAGCCGTGGCTGAGCGGTGGGTAAGGCAGGGAGGGGAAGTGAGGAGGGGGACCGTGCAGAGGGGGCACCTTCCAGTAGCTTTGTGTTTTCACACGTTGGAACCGACAGGAGCCCTTCTTCTCCGTGGGGGGTGTTTTGGGGGCATGGGGCTGATGAGGGGTGGGATGGAAAGGAGAGAGAGAGGTGGGGTGTTGGTGGGCAGGGTTATGATGTCACAGCAAAAGTTACAACAGGAGGAAAACACAGAAATGGTTCAACATTTTTTTTTTAAACTTTGGACTGCCAAGAGCTGAAGGAGAGTGGTGAGCAAAGGAATGAAGGGGAGAGAGAGAGAAACTAAACTGGAAGCTTGAGTTTTGTGTAGCTTCTTGAAACCTTATGAATGGATTACTAGCAGCTGAGAACCAGGAGAGACCTATAGGGGATGCAAGATCATTCACACACTAGAAGGGGGAGAAAGAAACGCACGGAGGAATTCTTCCTTGCTGTGTATCCCTCCTTCCTGAAATGAATGGTATGAAACCTTTTTCTGAGGGTCGTGGGGGTGGCATAAGGAAGGTGGAAGTTTACTTCTCCTTTTCTTACCTGGGTATCTTCCCTTCATTTAAACTAAGGCTCCTCTCCTTCCTTCCCTCCTTTCTGCCCTGGTTTCTCTCTCTCTCTCTGTCCCCTCTGCTTTCTGTCTTTCTCTGCAATCCCCCTACCCCTTTCCAAAGCCCCAGTCTCTATTGAGCTGCTTTGGTGGGAGGGGGGGGAGGTGGAGGAAAGGACTAAGACAGCAAAGTGAAGGAAGACAGGGAGACGCTAAGAGGAAAAGGCACAGTCTAGGATTGAGGGGTTTCTGTTTAGTGATATCCACGTGCCTGAATTGATATCTTCTTTAGGGACTTGCCTTGAAGCTTCAGTGGATGCTGCGTAGGGAGAGAGGGCACACCAGCGATGGGGGGTTTAGGATACAGCATTTGTAAAGCACATCAATGAGGGATGAGCTAGGGTGGAGGAATTTAGAAGAAGATGAGGGGATCCAAGGCAGAAGAGGCAGTGTGATCTTACTCCAGAGTAATGTGGGCTGCATGTTTTATATGTGGGCAACACAAGCAGTGATTTTAGAACTGTAAATGATTTTTCTTATTATTGAATGAAGGACCCAATATATTTCTCTACCTGTTTTGTACTCACCCATGGTCAAACACCCTTACCTGAGAATTCAGAACCATGCCCAGTGTGTATGCATGTGTATGTGTTTGTGTGTGTGTATACACATGTTTTGAGATACCTTACATCTAGGCAAACAGTATTGTGGAGGTTAAATACACATTATTTAATTCCCCATTTTATCCATTCATTCCAAATCAATGAAAAAAAAAATAGTTGTTTGGGTCTAGCTGCTGATAGTTGTAATTTACTTATTTTGAGCGTCTCATTTGTTTATTTGCTCACTCAGCATATGGTGACTTTTAGTAACTTCAGAGTGAGAAACTTGAGCGAGAATAAGAAGACCTATATCGTGCAAATCCATGGCATTTCCTCTGAATGCTTCCTACAGCAGGATAATTGATTTCTCCTTTCCCCCAATGGCTAACATAAAGTAAATTTGGGGTATTGTCCTTTCAAATCCCAAATGATTGAAATAAGAAAGAATGCAGGATATGTATGGCAAAACAAACAAAAGTGGTCCCTAAAAGAGTGGTGTGGGTTTATTAGACAGTAAGCAAGTCTGTTCACAACACATGTGTGAGTATGTGCGTGTGAGTGTGTGTGTGAGAGAGAGAGAGAGAATACATACAGAAAAGAGTGCTCCAAAACAGTATTGATTGTTGGCTATTGATTGTGTAGGCTGCGGCTGCTGGAAGAGAAAGCGGGAGATGTTTACTGGGGAAACCAAGAGCAGCGTCTGTCCCCTGTGCCTCAGTGAGGTGGGGAGGTTTTCAGGAGGGAGGAGGGGACAGGCAGTAGGTGGAGAGATGCACCGAACTTATTAGCTTTGACATCATCATTGTCTTTAAATGAAACAAACAAGAAGATAATTACAGGCAGAGAGAAAGGGAGAGAAGGGGAGCAGGAGGGACTGAGAGCACAGGCCCCCGAAGGATATGCTCTTCTTCTCATCCTCTTTTCCATCTTCCCAGGGACCCACAAGACTCCCAGAAGGTGAAGTCAAGGGCTCTCAGACTCATAAGGTTATTAGGACACCAGACTGGCACCCCAGAGGAGAACTTTACAAAGACTTGCAACACACCAACAAGTTGGAAGAGGATTAAAAACAACCTTCAACACTCACCAACCCCAGGCACAGAGCTGGGGGGAATATTCTGACCTGCACAGGCAGACTGGAGGCTGGATGGGGAGCTGGCTGAGGAGGACATCTGGAAAGTGAAGGCTAAGTACCAGCTGGCTTTTTTGTGCCCCTCCTAGATTCTTTTTTTTTTTTTTTTGCCTTTTTAGATAGTAAGCATCAAATTCTGTGTCTCCGTATACCAGTTTTTCTAGCAATTTGTTGGAAGCTGAATGTATTTGAGGTTAAAGACGACAAAGAAAAGGTAACTCCCAGGGAAGGAAGGAGGATAAAGAAAAGAACATTGGAGGCTAAGATTCTTTTTAGTGACTTCAGGTAGTGAGTGGTATGTGGGTGCACAAGTGTGTATTTGAGAAGATTTGGCTCCTGCCCACGTGTCCCCCTTCCAGTGTCAACGAGGGGAGGAGCTATTGAAGAAGGGAAAAAAGAAAAAGAAAGAAACCTGAGCTCTCTGGAAGAAATTCAAAGGAACCCAGAGAAATGGACTTCATTCTTCAAGGACTGAACTAGAACAAGGAGAGAGAGAGAGGTCAGGGAGAGGTTGGGGGACACACATAGAGGACAGGAGGGGGACAGAGGCTACGCAGTCACCGCACCCAGCTCAGGTAGCCAGGAGAGGTGCTTTTTGGGGGCTGCTTGAAAAAGTTTGGTTCCTGAACAAAACAGTTTGCCAGGGGACAGCGAATCCACAGCTAGCTGTCTCTTCCTCTTATCCCCATCACCCCGGCGTGGTACTCAGAAGCTGACTTCTGGTTCTATATAAAGAGCCGGGGGGAGGTATGATGTGCTTCAAGATTCTGAGGGTGAGCCTGGTAGTTCTGGTTGGGTGGGCGCTCAGTACTGTCAGCTCGGAGCTGGGCTGGATGCGCAAGAGATCCTTGGCCCAAAGAGGACGCCTGAGCCAGGTGCTGTCGGAAGGAGAGCGCTGTTGGCTGGGGGTCAAGGTTCGGAGACCCAGAGTTGCTCCTGAGCATCACCTCTTTGGGGTCTATCCCAGCCGGCCTGGGGACTACCTGAGGCCCTACCTTGCAGGAGATCAGGGAAGGCATCATGCAGGACGCAGTAAGCTGGATGCCGAGGGAATGGCTGTGAGCTCTGTCCCCCCAGACCCAACTGCAAGTGCAAGAGTGAGGAGTGAGGCTGAGCGGCCAGCCGCTCCATGGGGAGGGGACAGTCCTATTGGGCAGTCGGAGCTACTGGGATATGATGACACTTATCTTGGCGATGGAGGATCCAAGGAGCCTCTAGGTGAGGCTGGGGCTCCAGAAGGCACAGCCTCGGCTGCCACCATGATCACCACCTTCCCATGCCCAAAGGAATCTGGACCAGAGACCCAAAGGAAGGGCTGGACCAAGACCAGGCGTCGGCGCCAGGTGGTGAAGGGACAGGCAGGAGGAATGCGGGGAGACCCCAAGTTTGTGCCCTGGCACTTCCAGCCTTGGCCTAAACATCCCCTCATGCCTAGGGTCCGAACCGGCCCATCAGAGGGTGGCATCCGGAATGGTGGAGGGGACCCCGCCTGGGAAGCAGAGACTGTGAGCCCCCAAGAAAGACTGCCTGTCTTGTACTTCTCTGGGAGGCGGGAGCCGCTGCTGCTGCGTCCAGAAGTGCTGGCTGACATTCCCCGGGAGGCGTTCACAGTGGAAGCCTGGGTGAGACCGGAGGGAGGCCAGAACAGCCCAGCCATCATCGCAGGTAATCACCCACTCCCGGGCTTTCCGTGGTCCGCGGGGTGGGGCTGGCTTCTGGTTTTGGTGAGGTTAGACATCAGGGGGCAAGGAGGGGAAAGGGGCAGAGCAGAAGAACCAGGGAGGGCTGGCCGGGCAGAGAGGGGGAAGGGCCTCTATTCATCTGTGCAGCAGAATCCCAGACATCATCTGCATTAATGACTCTATAACCACAAGAGCATTTGTCCCTTGTATTGATCTCGTGTGCTTCTATACATTGTGCTGGCACTTAGGAGACCTCCAGCTCACTCTCTCATCCCTCTTTAAAGGGGAAGATCTCTGGTTCTTTGTCAGTGGGGAAGAGGTGTCACACTCCATTTCTCATAATCCAGTGTGAGAAACCCAGGCACCTTTGAAACGACGTGAAAGTGTACAGACCTGGGCAGTGAGTCATGCCTGGGCTGGGCTAGGTGGTAAGGAAATGAGGCTGCCGGGTACATAGCCAGTGGGTCCTGGTTGGTCTCCTTTTCTTTGAGTAGCCCTGGAATATAGCAGAAAGCTACTACCTTGCCCAGGTCCTGGAGTCCCCTCTGTTTTGTCCTAAAAATCACGTGTCCAGCCTGGGACTAGCAAGGTCTACTGCAAAAGGTGGGCACTCACAAGCCAGGACCCTGGTTTCTAACCTGGACTGTTGTAAAAGGGACCAGAAATGCACCTTGTATAATTCTATGGTCTTAATCAGGAACAATATTTGGGAACACTCTCTGCATTTATTTTACAGTATACCCAGATCTTGGCTTTCATGAAAAGCCACCCAGAAGGACAAAGAAAAGAATGGGATTAGGAATAATTGTCTCCCTTGCCTTAATGGGGGTGGGGGGCGGTTGGGGGGCGACTGGTTTCAGCAAGGAGTGGGTAAGGGATTAGAAGTGATACATGATCATTCAGTGTCTCTTTATCCCTTCAGAGCCCCCACCCCAGGACAGACCCTCACACAAAGCTAGGTACATAGTGGAACCATTTTCATTTTATTAATCTGAATTATGCAAAACACACTTTGATGCTTGCCAGTCCCATGATATGGATGGGGAAACCAAAGTCGTGAGAGGTGTGCCTGGGGCAGACGGGGAGTGGAACCCCAGAACCCCTGAAGGCCTTGACAGCTCCCCATAGTAAAGACTCCTCAGGCTGCTGGGTGCCTGCAAATAAGTTTTAGACCAGAGAAAGAAATCTGGAAGGAGGGAGCCTCTTGCGATGGTGTGTTGCTGGAACATCCCTTCCGGACACGCTGTCTTTCCCCCTCTTTGGCTGTAATTTCTCTTTTGGAAGCTGGGATTCCCAGACACTGAACACTCTAGAGTCTTGTGGTTTTTGCTTGATTTTATTTTGGGGTGGGAAAGGGGGTGAAGGGAGAGGATAGAGAAGGGGCTGGGCTGGATGATAGGTTGGGGCAGAGCAAGAGTAGAAGGAAATCCTTATTCTGAGGCCAAATGGAAGAAATAATGAGATGATTATCTGATCAGAGTTGGCAGCTTCACAGTTTTTCCCAGATGACATCTTCTTGCTGCCTAATCTCGCTTCCTAGTACCCATCTGCCAGGGAAACTGCGTGCTTGCCGTCTAGACCACGACTCCACTTACCCCTCCTCTGGCAGGAGCAGCGCTGGGACCTGGGATCAGTTCCCTGGCTCTGAAGAATCAGAGAAAGATCCAACAGGAATATAGAAGGGAGGCTCTAAGAAACCAGTGGTCTGAGTTGTTAAAATTCAGACCTGAGGGAACAGTTTCTGGACAGTGGGTACCTGACCCCTGTTCCCAAACCTTCTGCATCCATCTGTACTCGTTCTCTGAAGAGAGGAGAACAGGGTCAGGATTTGGTTCCAGTTATAGGGCTTCCTAAGTGGCTCAGTGGGTAAAAGAATCTGCCTGCAATGCTGGAGACTCAGGAGACACGTGTTCAATCCCTGCGTTGGGAAGATCCCCTGGACGAGGGCATGGCAACCCACTCCAGTATTCTTGCCAGGAGAATCCCATGAACAGAGGAGCCTGCCGGGCTACAGTCCACAGGGTCACAAAGAGTCAGACAAGACTGAAGTGACTGAGCATGCACACGCATAGCTTTCCTTAATGTACCACCCCTCCCCTGCCAGCCCAGAATCTCCCTCCCATGCCCACCTCCACCGCCGCGCCCCCACCACCTTGCCACAGCGCATACTCAACACCTCCAAGGTGCCCATCTGAGCCCTTGCCACCTCCCTAAGCATGTAAAATTAGGCAGGAAATCTTTCACAGACAGTCTAGCCTCTGAGGTTTCTTTCTCTTCAAATCAAAGCATTCCCGTCTCCTGTAGGTCCACACCGGAAAGACGGAAGGCAGAGAATACTCGGGTCTGTCTTCTCTCTACCTCCCACCCTGTATCTTTGTTCAGATTTGTGCACCTCAGAAAATATTCAGAAAAGATTTAGGGTAAAAGTCTGGGAGAGATGGGGGCTGAGAACTCAGCCTTCGTTCTTCAGGATTCTAGCAACTGGGTTCCCAGGACAGGGGCATCCTTGTCGACTCGCTGTGGTCAGCTCCATATGCGTTCCCTGGGGCCCCCTGGACTGAGAACCACGAAGGGCCAAGGGTATATTCACCCCCCAGGAATAAAAGTCTCCGATTTGCTCATCTACTCACTCCTACCAACAGATCAGCCCCTCTTCCTTCTCTTACCCTAGCCCTGGTCCTTTTAGCCGGTACCTGCCTGCTCCTGGGATGGCTGGCCTTCAGCTGTTGCAGAATGACCACAGCTGAACTGTGGGCCCGAGAGGTAAACACAATTCAACCACGGGAGTTCTGCTGCCCCACTGAGGATAACCCAAGATGCTACAACACGTGGCTCCCACACTCTTTTCTAACAGCTCTCAAACCTCAGGTTTTACCTACTTAACCTAGGCCCAGTTTTCTCCATTCTCCATCTACCAAACTCGAGGCATTTTCTCCTCGGCAGAGACAGTAAGTGATTCAGTTGCCCTAGCCGTGGTAGAGGAACCATCCCACACCCCTAACCCCCCCAAACCCCCCCAGAGACCGGAGGCCTCGGGGAATACTTCCTACACAGAGCACTAGGTGGCAGTGTTGCTTCGTGCACAGGAGAGTAGGCGGCGCCTTGGAAGCCAAGCAGTGGGGAATGCAGTCTGCTTTCTTGGAGGACGGTCCCTTCCCGGGCCTCTGGGAGGTATTCGATCATCCCCTCCCAGAGCCTTGTTGGTAGGCATCCCTGAGGGTCGGCTTCCTACAAGTCTCTTTGCAGGGCCCACGTGAACGGGCTCAAGTGGCATTCTTTGGGTTGTGACTAACCGGCACTTGTAACAACTGTAAAGAAAACAAAATCAACTCGCTACCTTCCTCCCCCCCCCCAACCCCCCACCCCTAACTCCCACATGCTTCCAAAATAGGAAGTTTTTGGATTCCGGGTGGATTGCTGGAATACTTTCATTTCGGGCTGAGAGGACAATGCGGGCCTCACAGGCGTAGGTGTTTAGCTTCTCTCTGACAACCCCGCGCAGCTTAGATCTTCTGAAGCTGCCAATCTCCTGTAGCTCTGACGCCCGGCAAGCGGGAAAGGACTGTGTGTGGCTGTTCCAGCGTCAGGGCCTCCATAAAGGTCACTGTCAGGGGCCTGGCAATTCAGGGGTTTGTGGCCGCCGAGGAGTAGCTGGGGTCAGGAGCCCGTTGGGACGGGCTGTTGGAACTCAGCTGTGGACATAAGTCAAATGCTGTCCTATCCTGGTGTGAAATCTTTCAGCTCCAGCACCCAACCCTGAAACCATCTGTTTCCCTCCTTCTCAACTTCCTTTCCTCTCCTTCCACCCCAGCACACACAGAAGAGGAACTTCTAATAGGTTCCTCCTCACCCGTAATTGATTTCAAATGTTCCCTGAAGTTGCCCAGCTGACTAACCACCTGCGACTCCAAGTGGCCGGAGACTGAGTCAGTAAGTCCATGGCAGAATCACAGCCCAAGCCCACACTTCTTCATTCAACAAATATTTATTGAGTGCCTTGCCAGGCAAGGCAGGGCAGGGCTCTGTGGGGGAATACAAAGATGTCTAAGAAACTGTCCCTGACCCGAAGATGAGTTTTCCTTCTCTGAGGATCCAGGTTGCGGAGGAGATCCCAGGGCCGAATTTGGGAGTCAGACCTGGAATCAGATTCCATCTGACACTTTTCAGTGCTGGGATCTGTGGCAATCCATTCAACTTTTCTGAGCTTTGGTTTCCTCACATGGAGAAATGAGAAAAATGTCTCAAAGCGTTGTTACAGTGTTTAAAGAAGTCATGTATGTAAAGTGCTCAACACAGACTTGACTCTAAAATTCACTTATGAAGTGGTATTAACAGCAGGAGGTGCTCATTGCTAAGAGCAGTGTATTAGCCTACTCATCTTTGGTGCTAACCTGCCAACCTGTAATCTTTTCTTAGGTAGGATATTAATTTCTTAAGAATTTAGCTTGCTCATCTGTCCAGTAGGAATAGTGGTAAATAGGGTTTTTTTTTTTTTTTTGCAAGATGGTCTCAAGATGATTGAGAACACTATTGAGTCAGTGGCTTGAAAAGACCATTTTTTTTTGTTTTTTGATCTTTTTTTTTAGCCTGAGCTATACTATTGGTGGCTCAGATGGTAAAGTGTCTGCCTGCAATGCAGGAGACTTGGGTTTGATCCCTGGGTTGGGAAGATCCCCTGGAGAAGGAAATGGCAACCCACTCCAATACTCTTGCCTGGAAAATCCCATGGATGGAGGAGACTGGTAGGCTACCATCCATGGGGTCACAAAGAGTCGGACACGACTGAGCAACTTCACTTACTTATACTATTTAATACATTGGACTATTGTCCAAGGCTTTTGGGGGGTCATGCACCCTTTTGGGAATATGATGGAAGCTTTGCTCACTTTTTAGCAATATGCCCATGTCACATATTTCATGTAAGTTTCAAAGGTCTCTGGATTTCCTGGTAGGAAGGTCAGCATTTGCTGACCTTGTTTAAGG